TCCTCTCTCTCTCTGCCTGCCTCTCTGCCTACTTGTGATCTCTGTCTGTCAAATAAATAAATAAAATCTTAAAAAAAAAAAAGAAAGAAACCGTGTACGTGTCAGCCGTCACTCCCCGACCCCCCACCCGAACCTGGCGACCTCTCATCTACTCTGTCTCTAGGGCTTGTGCCTGTGTTTGAGGCTCATCCGTGTCACGGGCCATCAGCATGTCCTTCCTTTCCTCCTGGGTCTTCCCCTGGATGGAGGTCCCGTGCCCTTTCCTCAGCGGATGCACCTCTGCGTTGTTTCTACGTTTTGGTGTTTTCAGATGATGCCGTGTGAGCCCTCGCGGCAGGCTTGTGCGTGAACAGACGCTCTCATTTCTGTTGAACCCACGTAGGAGAGGAGAGGGCGAGGCTGAGCGTGGTTGTCTGTGGCCCCTGCGGGGGCCCCGGTCCCTCTGCCCCCGCCCCCCGCCCCCTGCACTGTGGGGTCTGTGACAGCGGCCGGTGGGTGTGGAGTGGCCTCCCGGCGTGGCCGGGCTGGCGGCTCCCAGCTGGGTGTGGATGCGAACATCTCCACGGCACTTGCCGGCCGTCTGCTCCTTCAGAGAGATGTCTGTTGGGCTCGAGATGTAAGAAGGAAGCCGCGGGAAGTACCTCCCGCTGGAGGGGGAGGCGAGGGCGCTGGGGCCGCTGGTGGGGCCCCACGGGGTGCACTGGCTGGGGCGTTTCTGGGAGGGCCGGCCGGTCACGTCACTAGACTCAAGTTTCACTTTTGGGTCTGGGCTCCTGCAGCCCTGCACTTTCCCGGACACTTCCCAGCTCTGGACTGCAGGGCGGACTTGCTTCCCGTCGTGAGCCCGGAACGTGGGGTGACCGTCGCGGCGAGCTGCAGCCCACACCCAGTGCCGATCCCCACTGCCTGGTGAGGGGGAGCTCACGCTGAGTGGGGGCGATGCCGGCCCCTTTTGGGGGACCACGTGGTCCCAGCACCCTCCCAGACCAGCTTAGGGAAGCCTGAGGCCTCTGGGAAGCCCGTCTGGGTTTGGGTTCGACTGCGGGGGGCGGCCTTCCAGGTACCCCGTGGCCCACTCCGAATCCAGACCAGCACCGAGGCTCAAAGGTCTCCAGCTGGCAGGAGTGGCTGGGAAAGGCTGGCTGCTCTGCCTGGGCCCAGGCCTCCTGTGTCCTGGGTCAGGCCTGCTTTGGGCTCTGGTCCCTGAAGCCTCAGCCTCGGGCTGGGGGCTCATGGAACTCTGGGCACAGGAAGAGCCTTAGAGGGCATTCCTGGAAGCTGGGGACGCTGTGACAGAGCCTTGCTGTGGGCCCCTTGCCCAGTCCCCGGAAGCTTGGTGGTCCCTGCTGTTTCTCCTGCCTTCTGAACGTCTCACCCAGGGAGATGGCCGGTGCAGCAGCGAGAGCGTGGGGCTGGGGGGCACCCTGAGACCTCTGCCCTCCCCTGCCCCCCTGCCCAGCAAGCACTAAGAGTCCCGGGCTCTCCAGGGCTTCCTGTGGGCACTCTGGCCACAGTACGGAAGGCGCGGGTGGCCGGAGTCCCACAGAGGGCTGCGAACCCCATCCCAGCCTAGAGGCGCTCACCAGCCCCAGGCGAGGCTGCGAGGGGGTGACGGGGCAGACACTGTTCCTGTGCCGAGTGGTGAGCAGGAGTGGAGCGTTCTGCCCGTCAGAGCGTCCCGGGCCGGCCTGTGGAGGAAGGGAGCTCCCTGCTGGTGGAGGCATCCAAGCAGCGACTGGTGCCCCCATCCCCCACTCTTCTAGCCCTGAGGGCAACACGGCTGGCCCATCTGTCCTCCTCAGGAGCCATGGCATCTACCTTCGAGGGCGTGATCAAGAGGGTGGTCCGGGAGGTGGACCACGGCGGCAAGCTGACCCCCGTGGACAGCCTGCAGAGCTCCGCCAGCTTCCAGCCCTACGGCTTGTTGCGCAGGAAGTTCCCAATGTCCTGGTTCCAGAAAGCCCGCTACGTGAGCATCAACCTGTCCATCAGGGACATTCTGGAGCCTGGTGCCCCAGAACCAGGTACCCCGTCCGCTGGGAGGGGAGGGATGGCGGCCTGCTGCCCGCTCCGAGCCTCTGGGCTTTCTGCCTTCAAACAACAGGGCCTTTTCAACCCTCTGCGCGGGCGGGGCCGGTGGCCGACGGGGGGCAGGGCCTCAGCTCTGGTCTGGCTCTAGCTGTGAAAGAAAGCTCGCCCATCCACGTCTTCGACTGCACGGACGGGGAGGCGCTGGGCGGCGGGGAGCTGGAAGCCGCAGGACAGGGGAGGCTCGTGGTCAAGGCGTCAGTGTCCAAGTACCTCAGGATCTCAATGAAAGTGTGCACACGGCGAGTGGACCCCAACGTCTGGGACGCCATGAAGCGAGAGAGGTGAGCCCCCAAGCAGCCCCCGGGTCACCAGCCCGGGGCATCAGGAGTCACCAGGTGGCCGTGAAAGGCCAAGGGTCAGCACGGTGGCCGGGGTGGTGGGAGTACAGGCCCCAGGGGCACGCCAAGCTGGGCAGAGGGGGAGGAGGCCGCCGAGGTGATGGGCGACGGCATCCTGAGGGCCGGCGTGGCCTGGCAGAGCCGACACGGGGACGCGGTGACGAGGAACAGTAGTTCAGGGTAGAGCTTTGAAATTTCAATCCAGGGAGGGGCAGCGAATGTGGGGAGGAGCCGCTAGATAAGCAGCGACCGAGGGGGTGGGTATCTCCAGGGTCTGCCCGTGTCCACGGAGCACTCCTGGGTCTTGGGCCTCCCCCCACCATGGCCCACCCCCCAGGAACACTGTTGGGAGCCCACAGGGAGGGAATGATAGGAATCCCGGGCCTAGGCCCCCCGGAGCTCATGGGCTCCTGGGCCGCAGCAGCCCCCAGCAGCGTGGCCCACAGCGGGGGAGGGCAGGTCCCCCCCACCTCCAGGTCAACCACCTGCCACAGGCGCCTGCGGCGGCCCGAGCACATGGTCCTGCGGCAGCTGCGCAACTGCAAGAGCGACGTGTTCGTGGTGACAGAGGTGCTACAGACGCAGGAGGAGGTGACGGTCAGCCAGGCGCAGAAGCACGAGGGCTCCGGGCAGTTTGCGCTGCTTGGGGCCTTATCTCTCCAGGTGTGCGGCGTGGCCGTGGACTGGGCATGGGTCGGGGAGTCCAGCCTGTCCCCAGGCAGACCCCAACCACCAGCACCCAGCCTACACAGCCCCTGACCTAGAGCCCAGTCCCGAGCCCCTCTCCGCCCCTCAGGGCCAAGGCCGGGACCGCCAGAGCCGGAAGAAGAAGGTCAGCATCCCCGCGGGTAGTGTCCTGGCCTTCCAAGTGGCCCAGCTGCTCATTGACCCTGACTGGGGTGAGCCGGGGTTGGGGTGAGATTGGGGTGCCTCCTGCGGCCCTGGCAGAGAGGTGAGGAGGCCCAGCTTCCCGGGCAGCCTAGGAGCCATGGTTGGGCCTGGGAGGGGGCAGGGTAGCCCCCGGGGGTGAGGCAGAGGCTGGGGTCACTGGGCGACCTGCCCCCCATCTCTGCTCCCACCGGGCTACAGATGTCCTCCTCTACTGGGACAAGAAGGGCAAGAGGCAGAAGACTTTCAGGCCACCCAACAAAGGTGAGGTGGGCACATCCCGCCCAGCCCGGGGCCTTCTGCGCAGCCCAGCTCGGCCAGGAGGCCCGGGGTCCCAGGTGCCCGAGGAAACACACGCGCGCCGGGGGCAGGGGTGCTCTACGGCCACACCAACACCAGCCCCGCCCGGCTTCACCCCAGCCTCGCCCCAGCCTCGCTCCTGGCCTGGGCTGCCAGTGTTGGGTGGTGGTGATGGACGGTTAGGCCCAGGGGCCTGCTCCCGGCCCTGACTCGCCCTGCCCCACCCAGACCGCCAGCTGGTTTTTGAAAGCCCCACAAGCGACCGCCAGCTCTCCAGAGGCTTAAAGTTACAGTCAGGTCAGTACCTGCTCGACAACCCCGGGAACGTAGGCGGGCACCCCTTTCTGCCCTCCCGGGAGTCTGCCCTTCCCGACCAGGGTTCTGCAAGGTGAGTCCTAGTCCTCTCGCCGCAGACGGGTTTCCTGAGATCGGTCCTGCATTCACGGGAGACTTCCAGGACCTGCAGGCAGAGGTGGGGGCCCAGGCCCAGGCCCTGCGGGGCTTGTCCCGGGAACTGTGCGGGCAGCTGCTGGCGGGCTTGGCGCAGGTGCTGCGGGAAGAGCGGGCCTTGCAAACCCTGGAGGACGAGGTGAGCAGCCCCGGGGCGGGAGGGCCGGCGGGAGGGGCCCGTGCCCGCCGCTCGGACTCACCGGTCGGCCGCGCGTCCCCAGCTGGAACAGGGCCTGTGCTGTGGGTTGGTATCTACCCTGGAGGGTCCAGCGGGCGCCGTCCTCAAGTGCCTCGTGCACAGCTCCGGGGAGCTGGAAGGGCAGCTGGCACGCCCTGTCCTCTACCTGGCGGAAGCACTGGCCGGTGAGAGGCTCCTGGGGTGGGGCCGGGAAGGGCAGGGGTAGGGGCTTGTCCAGCCAGGCCTTGTGGAACCCCCTCTGAGCGGAAGTCTCCCCCCAGTGCTGACTGAGACCCAGCGTGCGGTGCTCGTGAAGATGCTGGAGACCGGAGAACTGTCTGGGCGGTTCGACCTGGTAAGAACACATGTGGGTGGCCGGGTGTGGGGGCGTCCTAGGAAGGAGCGATGGGGGGAGGCGGGCACGCGCAGCTCACGACAACCTCCCTCCCCATTTTAGCAGGTGGGGAGCGTCTTGGCGCAGAGCAGCCCGTGGCAGCAGCATAGGGACGTGTCCCTGCCACCAGAGCTCCTGGGGAGCGGCTGGGGCCCCGAGACGCCTGCCTGGGTACTGCTGGAGGAATGCGGGCTGGAGGTGCAGGCGGACGCCCCCCAGGTGCGCTGGGAGCCAGAGGCCCAGGACCGCACCTGTGCGCTCTTCGCCTGCCTGGCGCTGCTGCTGAGCCCGGACAGCTGCTGGGGCTGAGCCGTTCGCCCACTCCCCTGGGCAGCTGCAGGGGCACGGGCATGGGACACAGCTCCAGCCCACCCGGCCACCCCCGCGCCCCCGGGGGCTGAGAGCCCCAGCCAGCCTGTGGCCAGTTTGTCCCGGGGCCGTGCATTGGGAGAGTCAATAAATGTAGTGTACGAGGGAGAGAGGCTCACGGAGTTTTGAGGCAGCCCCAGATCCGGGCAAGGAGCACGGGGGCGGGGGCAGGGGGGGGGGGCTGCTCCGAGGTTCCGCTGCTATTCTGCTGTGGGGCTAAGGGGCCTGCCAGGTGTTGGGACCCGGCCCCGCCGGAGAAGACCGGCCACACAGCTGGGCCCCCGGCCCTCCCCCGAGGGCTGGCCTCCCCGAGCAAACGCGGCAGAGCAGCTTGCCCGGGGAACTTGAGGACGTCCTGCTGCATCCGCGAGGACGGAGCGGGGACCAGAGCACGGCTGTCTGACAGGCACACAGACTGGTCCTCCTGGGGCTGCATGGACCTAACCCTAACCTTCGTCTGAACGGTCGGGTCTTGTCCAGGCACATCTGCTCAAGGCTAAGAGTCTGTCCCTGTGTGTGGAGTGTCCTGGCCCCTGAGGTGCAGATCCCTGGGCACTCGCGGGCCTCAGCCACCCATGGCAGAGGGGGACCTGAGTGCAGGCACAGGCGGGAACCGACATGGCCTCATCGCCAAGAGCGTGCACAGCCGGGAAATCTGCCTTTCCTTGGTGGGAACCGCAGTCGGCCTTCCTCTGCGTGCTGGCAGGTGGACGAAGGGGGGGTTCCGCCCCGGCCCGCCCCTGAGAGGGGGCTCCAGGACTCACCGAACAGGAGGGACAGTAGTCTCAGAGATAGGACCAGAGCCCCAGAGAATATCTAGTGTCCCAGCCTCAGAGCGAAATGAATGCTAGGACAAAGGTGGGCTGCACCCCACACGTCCTCGATCCTCCCACCTGGCAGGCAGAGGGTCTTGGGGGGGCATAGCAAGCTGGGGGTGGCCACAGGACCACAAGCCAGTGGATGCACTGTGCAGGACACAGCCTGCGCTCCTGTAACCGGGAGGGCCGTGGGCACGACGGACCTGGGGCAGAAGGGGCGGGGTGCCACCTGCCCGAGCCCTCCGAGGAGCCCGGGGCCTCCTTCCGAGAGAGCATCTCTGGCCAGCCGTGCTCTGCTTGGTGATGGAAGCGTGCAGCCAACGCTCAGCCCAGGTTTCGGCTCCTGGGCGGCGGCCCTGGGGGGCTGGGCCTGCTTCTGACCTCAGCGGCCGCTACTGAGGCTCCTGCTCCAGCCTCAGGCCCAGATCAAATCGCGGGCTCTGAGGATGGTCCCCGCACACACCCGCGGCCTCAAGAGAAACCGAAGACGGACACCCAGCCTGCCCAGCGCCCCCATCCTGGGAGCTGCGGTCCTGCCGGATAGGTGACTGGCTCGAGAGCCCCCAGGCCCGCATGGCCTCCCAGGACACCCCCAAACAATCCTTTCCTTCCCTCCCCCATCCTCCCTCGGGAGTCTGAGGGCCTTTGGAGGGTCTGTGACACATTTCGTTAGTTCTAAACAGAGACACCAGACCATATCCCCTGCTTCCACACCGACTGGTGCGCTTGGCCTGGCCCCGCTTCGGCCTCGAAGACCTAACGTCCTTCCTGCCTGAGCTCCGGAGCTTTCTCTCTGTCTCAGCAGGTGAACCCGTGCCTTCCCTGGCCGTAAACACGGACCCTGAACCAGCCTGACTCTAACCCCCCGGCGGGCTGACCCTTACTCCTCGTTCGATACTCACTGCCTTATCCATCATCCCAGCCTGAGCCAGACGCTGGACCAGGCCACGGTCATCAGGACTCCATCCTTGGCCCAGACCCGGTTCCCAGACTCATACCAGACCCCTGTAATCCACCTGTGTTTATTTTAACCACTTCCCACAGGGGACAGGCGGGACCCCAAGGGGGTCCCCAGACGTGGTGGGACGGGTCCCAGCCCTCCAAGAGGCGGCATGAGCCAAGATCTCTCTGAGGACATGGCGTTGGGGGGTGGGCCCGGAAAGGCAAGAGAACGTCTCAAGACAGGCGTTCTGGGCGGAGGGGTCCGCCAGGACCCAGAGCCGCTTCCTCCCAGCACGTGCCGTCACGCTGTCCTCGTTCCAGCCCAGGGAGGGCACTGGGGAGCCACCTGAGGGCTCAGTCTGGAGGGGGCAGGAGGTGGCACCCCACACCAGAAGCCCATCCCCAGCCTCCAGTGGGGAAGTCAGGGGAAACCCAGAGAGGGCTCAGGTGAGGTCTGACGCGATGCACAGGAGTGGGGGGCGGGGATGGTGACAGGCCAGCGAGGAGTGGGACATGTGGTGGGGGACTTTGAGCCACCGGGGAGGACAGCCCAGACAGGCTGGGGAGGCAGAGCGGGCCATGCGTGAAGACCCAGCAAGCAGGTGGCTTCTCGTGGCCCCAGCTCCCAGGCTTGGGCCAGGGTCACCGTGTCCCCCATCGGACCCCAGCTAGGTGCCGGTGCCATCCAAGCTGGGGGGGTGGGGCACACTCAGGTTGCTGGCCTTAGTGGGGACAGATGGCCCTGGTGAGCAAGAGGCAAGGCGGGCTGAAGGCAAGACCGTGCTTGGACAGAAGGCCCCACGGTCCTGGGTCGCGTGCCTGTCGTGGCGGTGCGTCCCTAGAGAGGGAGGGTTGGTGCGCATCCAGGCCCGGGGCCCAGGGTGGGGGGCCCTCAAGGGGAGCCGCTCCTGCACACCTGCCCCTGCCAGGACTGGCCACGGAGCCGAGCGCTGCTGGTCTGCGACCCCAGGGACCCTCCAGGCTGGCTCGGGCTCAGGCACAGCCGGGTCCCAGGCAGCCCCAGCGGCCTATGACGCTCTGGGGCTGGAACGGGCTGTTGGGGTAGACTGGTGGGGGCCGGGGGGGCCGGCGGCGGTGCCAGAGGCCTGAGCGGAGGAGATGCAGGCGCAGGCGGAGGAGACGTGGGCGGCGGGGCTGGGCCTGGGCACGGGCCAGCAGCGCCACCTGTTGGGCGGACGCATGAGCTGCGGCGACCACGGCGGGCTCTGGGTCACTCTGCAGCTGTCCCAGGTCTGCAGGGACAGGGCAGCTCAGACAGGGCCAGAGAGCTCTCAGAACCACAACGTATCCCAGGCGCCTGGCCCTCCACCCGGCCGTTCCCAGCCACTGCGACCTAGCGCCCCCAGCCTCTCCAGGACCCCACACGCCGCTGAGCGAGCTGGGCCCTCACCCCGGAACAGGGCGTCCAGCAGGTCCTGGTTGACACGGCCAGGGCTGGTGTGATGGACGAGGAAGCCTGGACCGAGACATGCCCGTGAGCGCTGGCCGCCGGCGCCCATCAGGGAAGGGCTGGTCCAGCTCCCAGAGCTCTGAGCGCGAGGGACAGACACCAGGACTGCCTCACTCACCTAGGAGCACGGCCGCGGCCCAGCGCAAAGGGGTCTGTGGGCTCCGCAGGTAGCCCTGGGTCTGGCTCAGGAAGCTGGGGGTGTGACTTGGGTACTGCTGAACCTGGGGGCAGACAGGGTCATGACAGTATCGCAGGACCCATCCCACATGGAAAGCAGGTGGCAGACGTCAGCCCAGGGCCTGTGGGGCCCAGGGGAACCCCCAGGGCAAGGCCTCAGGGCCAGAGGTCTTAGACCGGCCACCGCCTTGGCTGGGAGAGTGAGGAGACCGAGTTTTGGGGGTAGTGCCCTGGTGCATACTGGGCCGAGTGGGCAGCTGACCACACCCCATCGCTGTCACCGTCCTCCCCCTACTGACCAGGCAGTGGCAGATGCGGCTTAGGGCCTCAGGGCTGTCGTAGTGGGCCACGGTGACCGTGTCCTCCAGCAGGCCCCAACGCAAGGCCTGGTCACAGCGGGCCAGGGTCCACTCTGAACTCTAGGGCAGGGGAAGGGAGCAGGGTTAGGGTCCAGAAAGTGGCTGGAGGGAGCCAGCGGCGTGTGGCCAGGATGAGAGGTGGAGGAGCCCAGGGCAAGTGGTCCAGGAAAGACCAGGAACCGGGAGCCCTGGACACTTGCACCTGAGGTCCTGGTAGAAATATAAGGAGCTGCGCAGGGTGGGGACGGGTGGGGGTGGGTGGGGACAGCAATGGGACAGTCTTGGGGGGCAGCTGACCTCAGCAGCCTCCCGGCTGGGATCTTGCAGGCGCAACAGCAGAGGGACGACGCTCTGGAGCACCAGCTTCCGGAGGGGGCCGCGGAGCCCCACCCGGAGCCCGCCCCGGCCCCGCCGCACCAGCGTCCCGAGAAGCCCCACGGCCGAGGCGCGGACCGACTCCCTGGCCTGCGTGGGAGGACGCGGTCAGGGCAGACGGAGAAGGCCTGGCGGGGGTGGGGGTCTGGGGCGGGGGAGGGATGGGCGGAACGGGGGTGGGGCGGGGTGGGGGTGGGGGCGCGGCCTGGAGGGGCGGGGCTTACGTCGTCCAGCAGCCGCGGGAGGCTCAGCCCCAGCTGGGCGCTCAGGAGCCGCACCGGCGCCCCAGGCTGCAGCAGGAGCCTCCCCAGCGCGCCCAGCGCCGCCTCCACGAGCCTCGCGTCGCCCTCGCCCAGCGCACCCAGCAGCGCGGGCAGCAGCCTGCTCACGTGCCGCACCTGCGGGGGCAGCGACTCGTGGGCGGCCCCTCGAGGCCCCCGCCCGGTCCGCCGCCCCCAGCCCTGTCCCTCACCTTCCCGCGGTTCAGCGCCAGGTGGCCGAGGCCCAGCAGGCCCAGCCAGCGCACGGTGGGCTCGGGGTCGCCCTGCCAGGCCCGGAGCCGCTCCAGGATGACCTCCTCCCGCAGGAGCCTCGCCGTGGGCCGACTCTGCAGCAGCTGAGCCGGGGTGGGACGGGGGGGCACGCGGTCAGCGCGCGCGAGGGCGGCCGCACGCCGCCGGCGCCCCTCCCCGGCCGGGTGGGAAGCAGGCTCACCCCGGCGAAGAAGGCCATCGCCGTGAGGCGCTGCGTGTCGTCGGGGCTGCGTAGCTGCGGCAGCAAGTTCGCGAACAGGCCTCGCAGGTGGTGGTCCGCGTGGGCCACCATGGCACTGGATGGGGGGGGAAGTGGGGTGCTCTCTCGTCTCCCCTCCCGCCCCTGGAGAAGCCTCAAGCCGACCCCGCCTCCTGCCCCCGCCTCTTCCCCAGCGCCCCCTCCAGCACCTGGCCAGCAGCAGGACGCCTTCTAGGTGGGTGTGGGCTCCCACCAGCCTCCTCCAGCCTCCAGCCTGCTCCATGCACGTGACTACCATGCGGCCGCCATCCCCGGTGAGCAAGGCCTTCAAGGCCTCCACCGCGCAGCTGGGTAGGGGCAGGCAGCGGGTGGGTGGAGGGGCCGGGAGGGCACCGGCCCCGCCCCCCTTCCCTCCGCTGCGGGCCCTCACCTGGCGTGGCTGTGCGGCGGCCCTCGCTGCGAGGGGCCCAACCCCTTCGGGGAGCCAGGGGCGCGCACGCCCCGCGCTAGCTGGTGTAGCTGCGTGACCAGCAGGAGCAGGAGGTGTGGGTAGAAGCCCCGCGTGGCACCCACGCAACCAGACACAGCCAGCATCTCCCCAAGGGCCCGAGTGGCCTGCGGAACAAGCAGCCCAGCTCAGGTTCCGCCGCTGGAGAGCTAGGACGAAGCCTCGGACCCTTGAGGAACGTGACGAACGCGCTGGGCCTGCCGCCCTGGCGCCCCCACCCCGGGGCCAGACCCTCCCACCCCCTAGGTCCTGGGGGAGGCCCCAGGCTGCGTGGGCCCCTCACCTACCGCCAAGGCCTCCAGCTCCCGCCCCGCTTGGTCCTTCAGCGCCCACAGCAGCTGGACCAGCACCTGCCCGTTCACGCACTGATTCCGGCTCAGGCTGGGCCACAGTTCAGCCGCCGCCCTGGGGGTAGGAGCCGCTGAGACAGGGTCTGATGTGGGGAGTCCCCAGGTCAGGGTGGGAGGCGGCCACGAAGACTCCAGCCTGGGGAAGAGTCGGGAAACCATCCCCCGGGCACTCCACCCGCACACCCCAGAGGAAAAATTTAAGCTGCCCGGCGGGGGCCATCCGGGGCTCCCTGGGGCCACCAGCAGGGCGACAGACCTGGTGTTGGGCACAGTCACTGTACAGAAGGAAACCCGAGAGAACTTCTCCTGGGCAGATTGACCAAAGAGCCAGGGACGCTGGGGAGAAGCCGCCACCTGGCTCGCTTGTCCCACCTTGGAGCCCCAGGCTGGGCTCCCAGTGTGACCTGGAGGGGGGAGGCAGGCCCCCAGGCCAGGACAGCCTTGAGGACCCCGGAGGACCCCCCGAGGCGTGAGGGGTGGGGAGGGGATGGAGGACGGGAATGGGGTGGGGGCGGGGCAATTCAGAGGCTCCGCCCCCGACTCCACAGCCAATCAGGAAGGGGGAAGGAAGCTGCTTGGGGGCCTTGGGGATGTGGCTGCTGGCTTGGGTGAGGCGGATTACCGGTCTGGGGGCAGCGAGCTGCGCAGCAGCGCACACACCACCTCCCGAGCGTGCTCCCGGGCCAGCGCGCTCAGCACCCGGAGGGCCGCCCGCCGGGGCCTCCCTTCGGCCAGGCTGGGCACCTGCGCCAGCAGCCCGCTCACCAGGGCGTACACCTGGCGGGGAGGAACAGACGTCAGGGACCTATCGCCCCACCCCCGCGGGGCAGGTGCAGCCATGCCCCAACCTTAGAACTCAACAGCAGGAGCTGGGGGCGGGCCGGGGCGATGGCTCACCTGCGCCTCCAGAGGCTGGCCCCGGGCCTCCGGAGCTGAGGACAGTGTGAGCGCTGTTGCCTGCGTCCCCACAAAGCCGGCCTCCTCCAGGCAGGCAGCTGTGTACGCTGCCAGGTCCGCAAGGGCCCCCTCCTCCCGGGAACTCTGCGGGTCCTAGGGCAGGGTGGGTGGGATGTACCAAGTGCCCTTGACTCTCCCAGCTGTCTTCCCCCAGCAACCCCATCTTCCTTGGTGTGGTCCCTGCAGTCTCCCTTCCCACTCACCTGACAGGGTCCCTCAGGGGACTCACAGCCCGGGGCAGGGATGGCAGCCGCACTCTTAGGCTCCGACTCAGGTTCAAGCCCATGTCCGGGCTGACGGCCAAGAGCAGAGTGACCTGGGGTCTGCCCCTGGTTGGCCTGGATCCCTTCAGCCAGAGCTGTCAGGGTTAGAGCCCCCACAGGATCCCGGCGGGCCTGGCCCCACGCCCCCCAAGCCATGGCCCCCGGCTCGCCCCAAGCCTCGAGGCTGGATCCAGCAGCGCCTGCTGCTTCTTCTGGGAAGTCGTGCCCGGGCCTGACCTAGAAGCTGGCCCTGGGCAGGCAGGACGGGGCAGGCGTGGTGGTGCGTGCGTGTGCTCCTGCGCTTCCTGGGTGGGGGCTGGGGCGCTCCCCAGACGCACCCCCAGGTGTGCATATCCGGGGCGCGTGAAGGGCCCTCCTGCCCTTGCTGCTAGCAGTGAGTAGCTGGCCTGAAGCTGGGGTGTGGGGGCGGGGGGGCTGGCCTACCCTCAGGGCCCCGGGGCAGGGGTAGGACCCCTGGGATGGTGGTTCTGCAAGAAGGGGGGGCCCTTCACCCTGACATCCGACCCCTCTGGGCTGGTGTGGACAGCCCTGAGGAGACCTCGGCAGGGTCCAGGTCCAGAAGTCAGGGCCCAGCCCTGAGCTAAGGCCCTGCCTGGGGCCCAGAGCTGGGCCGCCCCCCCCCCCCGGCATTCCGACCCAGCCAGACATCTTGGCGAGGAGGGTGGTGAGACAGGTGTCACCACCTGAGTTCAGGCCGGCCTGGGGTGGAGCAGAGGTGAGGGGGCGGCGCCACTGGCACCCAGGTGCCCTTACAGGGGCCTGCCACCGTCGGGGTGGGCCATCTGGGTCCTGGCCGGTTCTGAGGGTCCCCCTCCACCCAACCCTGCAGCACAGGGCTCCTGGGTCCTGGCACGAGGAAGTGTGCCGCTGGGCAGCTGTGCCCCGTGGGTACCTGGGCCTGGTTCCGCCCTTGGGTGTTTGTGAGTCTGTATCTGTCCCAGCCTCGCGCTCCGCAGGGCTGGCCTGACCGGGCCTCTGCCCCAAATCCTGTCACCCTCCCCCAGGGACGCGGGCCGAGGCCCCGCCTCAGTCTTGGGGTCCGGAAGAGCCAGTCTGGCCACAGATGCTTGAAGAGGTGAAGTGTTCTCGGAACCGCCCCGGGAAGCCAGCACCCCGCCTTGCGTGCCCTGGCCCCCTGGTGCTGCCAGGGTCAGAGAGGCCTGGCTCCCCCGCCCCACGGGGCCGAGAACATCTCTCCCGGCTGGTTCTGGTGGAACCCGAGTCACCCAAGCCGGCGGACACCTGACCAGCTTTGTCCGCACAGCAGCCGGACCAGCCCAGAGCTGTTCATCTCTTCGCTGGCTCTAACACACCCCCCGAACCTTCCTCTCCTCGGTAAGGCCACGGGGTCAGGAGCTGGCTTCCCCCAAGGCGGGCCTGGCTGGCCCCGTGGCAGATGGTGTGGCACCCACAAGCACAGCGTCCCCCCGCGGTAGAGTCCTGCAGGGCGGCCTCCGCAGCGGCCAGGGACGCCCGGGCTTCTCCTGGGCTTGGCAAGCATGAGGGGTCCTGCTGACTCCTCCACAGAGTGCCCTTGGCTGGCGTGGGAATCTGGGGCCACGCCTGGATCCAGGAAATCCCCAAGACCCTCTCGGTTCCTCATCCCAACCCGTGGCTCTCCCTCCCCAGCCTTCTGCAATAACCGCACCAACTCCTAGGTGGGCACCAGGAGCCCCCCTTTCCCTCCAGCCTCAGACCAGCCCAGCTGCACAAGCCTCCGACTGCCAGCCTCGGCCTAGCGCCCGGCCACCCTCAGACCCCAGCCCCGGGCCGCCTCCCCACCCTGGCAGAGCCTGGGCCTCCCTGGGAGCTTGAACCCAGGCGCTGACCCCCGAGGGCAGCCTCCCTTGCAGGCCCTGGGGGTCCAGTGAGCACCAAGATGGGTAAAGAAAGACACATGACAAGGTGTGCAGGACAGTGAGTGACTCGTGTTGGTCTGAGGTGGCCCTGACCCCGCCGTGTTCATGAGGACCCTCCGGCCAGCAGGCTGGCCACCAGGGCCCGGAGCTTATCAGACAGCGCCACCTACAGGAAGGAGAGAGGATGATGGGTGGCCACAGGGATGAAGGGGAGGCAGGCGGAGGAGGGGGGCGGGGGCACATGGGGGCCAGGAGCACCTACCGGGTAGGGGGCAGGCTGCTCCAGCCGCTTGTGGTCCGGGCTCAGATGGCTCAGGGACAGCTGGGCGAAGGCTCTCGATTCGGCCAGAGATGGGAGGGGCTCACACAGCTGGAGGGAAGAGGGAAGGCAAGGGCTGGGTCCGAGGTCAGGGTCAGAGGCCCGGCTCCACTTGGGTTGAAGGAGCAGACTAAGGGAGGAGGTGGAGGCAGCTACCTGTCCCCGCTGGACCCAGAGTCTCAGCAGGGGCTCCACACGGGCAGGCTTCACGGTCCAGGCTTCCTGGGCCCCTCGAGGCCAGACCCTGAGCTCTCGGCCAGCCTGGGGGGGTTGCTCCTCCGCCAACTGCAGCACGTCCAACAGCGGAGACCCTGAGTGTGTGCCGAGAATAACGCAGGGGGCCTGGGGACTTGAGAAGGGCCACGGAGGAGTGGGAGGCGTGGGACGGGCCTCACCATCGGCGCGCAGGAGCCGGAAAGCAGCCTTGCTCCCAGGGAGCGTCTGTTTCTCGGGGTCCTCGGTCAGTTTCATGCGCGGCTGGCCTCCCACGGACACCAGCTGCAGAAACGGGCTTGCTGGACTCTCCTCCCCCGGCCAGTGGTCCCTCGGGCCCACCCCACTGGGTCCCAGACCCCACCCCGACCTTATAGACGCAGCCCAGGGAAGGCTGGCGGGGACATGTGACCACGCTGGTGCCGATGCCGATGACGTTGACCTCACTGCCCTGGACCAGGAGAGAGAAGGTGGCACGGAAGCCTGTGAGCGTCTGCAGGCCCAGGGCCCCCTGAGCCCCCCTCTGGCCCAACCCTGCCCTACCCCACCTCCTGGGCCAGCCGGGCCAGCTCCTCCTCGCCAATGTTGTTGCTGACGGCGATGGAGATGGATTCCAGCCAGGGCATCTGGAACCTGTGATGGGGGCAGCCCCTCAGACGGTCCCTGGTGCACCGATCAGCCCTCCCTCCCCGGTTACGCACCCCTCCCCCACACCTGACCATCTGCCTCCGGCCACATGGGCCCTGGCCTTTTGCTTATGGGGGCCCGGGTGAACCCATCCCTGATTTCCCTGCCAAGGCCCCAGTGTCTCTACTCTGGCAGCAACCAGATCAGACCTCCTCACTTTGGGAGAGACACACTGCGCCCTCCTCGGCCCCGGCCCAACACTCCTGCCCCCAAGAGGATCTCTCAGTGGGCATCAGCCGCCCCACGGGACTCACTGGCCCGAAATGGTCCTGAAGACCCTGCGGATCTCCTGGGCCTGCTGGAGCAAGTCACCGCTGTCCAGTCTCACACCCACCGCTCGGTAGCCCAGCTCCCCCAGCGCCAGGGCCACGGCCAGGAAGTTAGGGAGACCGCTCCTGCCGGCAGGAACGACGAGGTTCGATGAGGCCGCAGCTGCCCTGCAGGGCCCACCCAGGGGAGAACCTGGGCCTCACCTCTGCACACTGTACGTGTCCAGCAGGCCCTGAAAGGCCCGGGGGAAAGCCAGGGCATAGGCCACAAAGGCCGCCCGCTCCCCCCGGTGGGGCTCCTGCACCCCCCGTCCTAGGTGGGCACACACGCGATCCAGCCACGCCTCCACACGAGCAGCCAGATCCACTCTGGGGCCCTGGCCAGCAGCTGGGGCCAACATCTATGGAAAGGGCTCAGTGAAGGCCGCGCAGCCCATGCTGCAGGGTGAGGACTGCCTAAGCCCTGGCTGAGGGCTGCCCGCTCCCCACGCAGCACTGGGGCTACCTGCCGGGGGGGCTCAGCTGAGCCGGGCCGACCACCTGCCTGCGCGAAGCAGCGGCCAGACCACCCTCCCCTGGGCAAGGACTGGCTTTGGGGTCTGCCCTGTGGGGCGCAGCAGCGGGGAAGAGAGGTACTGACCGGGTCGGGGGGCACCTCGGTGCCCAAAAAGGACGTGATGAAAGAGTGAGCCAGGGTTCCCGCCACGGGCACGCCCCGCAGCTGTCCTGCCAGCACATTGCTGCTGCCGTCAAAGCCTGCGCCGGGTCCGGAGGGCGTCAGGTGGGGCTGGAAGGCTTGGAGGGAGTCTCCTTCCCGGGGCCCCTGCCTCCCTCCTCCGGCTCTTACCGCCCAGGTAGCTATAGGTAGAGGCCGTAAGACCCCCATCCGGGCCCTGGGCTCGGCGCAGCCCCATCTCCAACAGCCGCTTCTTCGGACCCGCGATCAGGCGCAGCCGCGCAGCGTTGGTGGCGATGAGGCTGTCGGGGGGCAAGGAAGCAAGGGACCCGCGTTGAGGGTCATGACGGCGCCGCGGCCCGGGCCCCCTCCGCGTTCCCCCACAGCGGGAGTAGGGTCGGGTTGTGCTCTCCACAGTCCGGGGCCACGCGCTCCGCTCCCCGGGCATAACCGCGTCCCATCCGGAAGGCCCGCCCCCCGGAAGTCCCCGTTGGTCCTCCAGGGGGCCCAGCTCGGTCCCGCCGTTGACCTCCAGCTGGGCGGGGCCCCACCTGGCGTAGCTGACGAGGCAGAGGAGGGGCGTCTCCAGCAGCTGCACCACCAGAAGCGGCCCGCCCACCTGCAGCAAGGGCACCTGCAGCGGGGTCAAAGGGGGCCCGGGGGTGGGGTCAGGTCGGCGTCCGGCGCGCTCGGCCCGCGCCCTCTGCCCGGCTCGGCCCGCACTCACGCCGGGGAAGGCAAGGGAGCCCTCGGGCAGGGCCCGCACCGTCACGTCGGAGCAGTCGACGGCACGAAGGTACTCGAAGAAGGCGGGGTCCGTGTCGGGCGGCAGCACCGAGGCCAGAAACTGCACGTCTGCGGGTGACAGAGGCCCTCGTGGGCTGGAGCTAGCGCCGACCGTGGAGGGCTCGTCGGGGGTCCCGGGAGGCTCGCTGGGCCACGGGGGACGCGGGGCGGGCGGAAGCGTCGTTCGGGCTCGTCAGCGGGGAGTGGGGATGGGGGAGGGGCAGATCCGCGGGGGGCGCGGGTGTCCAGCGGGGGCGGGGGGCGGGGGGCTACCTGCGTCCCGCAGGCGGAAGGCGCGCAGGAAGCGCACGCAGTCGCGCAGCCCCGCGGCCAGGGCGAAGGCGCCGCCGAACGGGCATCCGCGGAAGAAGAGCTCGAACTCGGCCTGCTCCCGCGCCCGCCCCGCGCGCCAGTAACCCAGCGCCATGGTGGCCTGGTAGAGGTCGGTCAGCAGCGGCCGAGCTGCCGCGAGCGCCTCGAGCGCCTCGGGGTCCTGCTCTGCCGCCATCTCGCCCGGCCGCACGGACTCCGGTCCCGCCGAGTCCGCGCCGGGCCGCGCCCGCTCCCCGGCCCCACCCCCGCCCCACGTGACGCCCCCGCCCGCGGGGCGAGGCCTGCTGAGGCCCCCGCCCCCTGACCCAGCTTGGAGCCGGTTGGCGGGGCAGGGACTAGGGAACCTGCTCCTCAAGGACATGTAGGTGGTGCCACACTGTGGCTCAGGGACCAGTGTGGTGCTGACACAGAGCAAGGGGGCCGCTGGGCCACCCTCGGCAGGCACCCAGAATTTTGCACCTAACGGGGACAGCCTGTACTCAGGCCCCCCACCATCAAGGGGGGGCCCCCTGAGGACAGCAGTTCTGACCAGAAGTCCCCAAAGCGCACACCCTTTATCCCCAGCTCAGAGAATGGCTGGCTCACGAGACAGGCTGGCCAACAGTCCAGGGAGAGGCCGCCAGGGCCAAGTACTGCCCAGACAGGACTGTGGGCCGACTCCACAGGGTCATTTATCCTGGGCCTGTCCAGGGTCCAGGTCGCCAGGGAGGGAGGGACGGGCAGGCCACAGAACAGACTGGGCTGCACACGGAGGGCTTAAGCAGCAGGGGCCTCATCTAAGGAGTCGGCCAGGCTTTGTGAGAGGCCTGGCATGGTCGCTCCCAGGCCCCACTTTGGCCCATGAGTCGTCACCGCAGTAGGGCCTGGACGGCTGCTGGGACCTTTCTTCCTTGGACGCCTCTGCTCCCATGGGGTCAGCTTGGCAGGGAATGGAACCCAGAGGAGGCAGAGTGGAGGGGGGCCTTGCGTGCCTCAGATGGTCCAGCAGCCCCTGCAGAGGGGCGACCCACACCCTTTCTGGCTGCAGCAGCTCCAACTCAGCAGAACCTTGGAACCTTGGAACCAAGGGTGGAGCGCCATCAGGAGGGCAGTCGGGAGAGAGACACGGGGCAGATGGAGAGTGAGGTCACACAGCCTCAAGAACACTGTGCCGAGATCAAGAAAGGGGAGGGTGGGGTTGGCCCCTGGGGTCACTGGTGGAGCAGCAGCAGGACAGGGGCCCAGCTGGGACACTAATGAGACGCAGGCCAAGCGTGAGGCCCGGAGCCCGTCAGTGCTGCTCACTGAATGTGCCCGCCCCCCGGGGCCCAGACGAGGACAGGAGCCAGACAGTGCACTCTCAGTCTTTAATGGCTGTGGGGCCTCACACACCCAGGCCTGGAGCCCGCGCTCAGATCTTGTTGAAAGCAGCTACGTCGACGCTCTGCACCTGAGGAGGAGGAAGGCCACTCATCACAGGGGGCCCAGTCTCCCGAAGACCCACCCACTCTGGCCACCCACCAGGCCGTGGGTATGCGTGGGGGCCTGGCCACTCACATGCTCCTCGAACTTGGTGATCTCCTCCTCCAGCAGGTCGGTCCCCACCTTGTCGTCCTCTACCACACACTGGATCTGCAGCTTGCGGATGCCGTAGCCCACGGGCACCAGCCTGGAGCCCCCCCAGGTCAGCCCGTCCAACCGGATGGAGCGCACGCAGGCCTCCAGCTGGGCCATGTCCGTCTCATCGTCCCACTGCGGGGGAAGAGTGTGCAGAGGCTGGGTCAGGGGCCCGCAGACCCCGGGGAATGTCCCGTTTCCCCAGAGCAGTCTAGGCTTACAGCCCACAGTTCCAAGGCAACATGGGGGCAGAGGCAGGGGTGGGCCACTCACAGGCTTGACATCCAGGAGGATGGAGGACTTGGCCACCAGCGCAGGCTTCTTGGCCTTCTTCTCGGCGTACTGCCGCAGCCTTTCCTCTCGCAGCCGCGCGGCCTCCTTGTCCTCTTCCTCATCGCTGCCGAACAAGTCGATGGCATCGTCCTCATCGTCCTCCGCGGCAGTAGCTGCCTTCCTGCCAGGGGGCTCCACTTGGCGCATGGGGGACACGTGCTGCCATTGGGGGTGGGGAGGTTGAGGCCTATGCCACAGGGCCCCCGGCTACAGCACCCTAGCCAGGGGCCTCGAAGACGCCAGGCCCCCATTGGGGTGAGGGCCAGGAGCGCCTTCTGCCCCCACCCCGTGCCCAGGCGGAGGGCCCCTGGTCTGAGAAGGGTCCTCACCTGGGTCTGTGGGGCTGTGGCCCGGTGGGTGGGGGAGCTCTTCTCCAGCGCGCTCAACCGGGCCTCAAGCCGGCAGACGGCCTGCTGCAGGTCCTGCACCACTGTGGGGGCAAAGAGGGTGTTGGTCCAAGGGCGGGGGACTAGTGGGGGACCAGGGGGCAGGGGAGGGCGGGCATCCCACCCGTTAGGCTCAGAGACTCACCTCCTCGCAGGCTCTGATTCTCCACTTCCAGGCTGGCAATGCGGACGGCAAGCTCGCTGTGATCCCCGCTGGGTCCGCTAGAGGCCCCAGGGCCTGAGCTCTGGAAGGCAGAGGGGAAGTGAGGATGTGCCCCCGACCCCCAGCCTGCTCCCAGGGTGCCCCGGTTCACAGCCACCAAGAAATCAGAACCTCAACACGTGTGGGGGACCGGCTGGACACTAAGAAGCAGCTCCTGTTGGCCCTGCTCAGTCCACCTGCGATACTCCAGCCCAGGGGGGAGGTGGCCCTGTGAGCACAAACCCAAGCAGGAAGCACAGGGCCCAGGGGAGCCGGGCAGGGGGTAGTGCCGGACCCACAGCTGGCTGTCTCTGCCCATAACCCTGGGACAGCCAGGGCCCTAATGGGACCAGGCAGCACAGCTTGGAACCGCAGATGGGACAGAAAAGAGTTGAGGGCCCAGTGAGGGTAGAAAAAGGAGCTGTTCTGTGCCAGGGACAGGCACTCCATAGCACCTTGCCTCCCCCAGGCTATACACCTGTCACCTGGCCCACGGGCTCAGCCCTTGAAGGCTCTGGGTGACCGGGGGCCGCACAGCTGCCTGTCAGCCTCCCTCAGGGTCCTCCCTGACCCGGAACCTGCGTCACCGGACTCAGCAGGGCACCGCATCTCAAGCCCACATTACGCCTCAGGGGCCGACACCCCCCCGCAACAGAGTGGACAGGAAGCCCCCCCATGAGGGCAAGCCCACGGCCTTCTCCTGTGTTTGATGCACCCCAAATCACAGATGGGCTAACGGGCCCCAGAAAGGACAGGCTGGCAGGCGCCCAGCTCCCTACTGGGGGTCGGTGAGCAATGCAGGCCAGTGCTCTCCGTCCCCATGACCCAGCAGCTCCCACCTCTGGCTCCTAGCAGAGCCGGCCAGAGGCAGACCAGCTGCCGCGCGGCTGGGGCTGGGGCTGGGGCAGGGGCAGGGGCAGGAGCAGGAGCACAGGCAGTCCCTGCCTTCAGCTCAAGCCCTTGCCCACCCGCGGAAAGCTGGGCAGGGCTCCCCAAAGCCCTGGCCGCCGCCACCGGGCACATGGCCCCTCTCCCGCCCGTGTCCCCAGCACTTAGCTCCCACTGCCATTCTCAACAGCACTTCCCAAGGGTTTCCATCACATGGGAATGAAATTCCAGCCATCCCCTCCTGTTCCCCCAGCCCACACAGCCAGGCCTGGCTCCCCTCTCCTGGGGGCTCAGCACCGGCCGAGCAAATCCATCAGGGTCCAGCCGCAGGCTGTGGACACCACTGAGTGGGGGCTGCCTGCTGACAGGTCCCAAGGGGGCAAGCTCCAGGCAAGCCCCCCCCAACCCCCAACCACAAGGCTAAGTAAGGGAAGTGGCAGGCAGAGCCCCGGGGGCTGGTGGCCACTGCATTACTACCACCGCGCCCTGTGTGCACCCCCCGGCCTCTCACATCTATGCCCTGGGATGGCCTCACCCACCCTGACCCTGAGCCAGGCAAGGACTGAGGATGCCAGGCCATCTGAGACCCAGCCCCAGCCTGTGAGGCAGGCCAAGGCCACCCTGTCTAGTCCTAGCCTGTGACAGTGGGCCACAGGGACAGTGCCACCTTCCATCCCCACGTCCAACCCTATCCCCGCCACCACGCACAATGCCCCGGAAGCTCTGGGTGCTAACATCCCAGCTTTCTCCGACCCAAATCCACGCCTGGGGCTGAGCCAACAAGGTCTGTCCTGGGTCCCTATCAGCAGCCGAAGGGCAGGCCTCTGAAGTCCCCACCATGGCCTCAAAACACGAGCTTACTTGGATATCGGGCCTCCACGGTGGCAACCCAGTTACCGTGAGCTCCTTAGGGTGACCCTGATTCTGACTACTGTCCTTATAGAAGGAAAGCTAGACACAGACACCCGGAGGGAAAACAATGAAAATACACAGGAGAACAAAGGCCACGCACATGCCCAGAAGGAAGCTCAGAACCTGCGTACACCTCGACCTTGGACTTCCGGCTTCCAGACTGAGGAAATAAAGTTGGTGTAAGCCCTTGGTCTGGGCCGCTTTGTCACAGCAACTCAGCCCCCAAGTCCTAGTAGACGCCCACATGCTTTTTCCAAGACCAGAACCCAGCAGTCAACCCCAAACCCAGGCATAGAGAGTTCCCGCAGCCCAGGAACTCCCAGGGCAACCGGCCCAGAGCCGCTCAGATCCCCGGGCCTGGCTTTCCGGGGGCTGCAGTCTAACACATGGGCCCGGGGCCCGCAACAGCAAGTGGCGGCCAGGCAGAAAGAAGGGCCTGGCAGCGGCAACAGCCCCTGGGGTTTGTCAAGAGCTGTCCCGCCGACGGCCCAGGAGCCGGGACGTCCAAACGACCTGCCCATGTACTGATTCCCAGAGCTGCTACAACGATGACCTCCGGTGGCAAAAGGGACTCTGCCCAGAGGACGAAGTGGAGGCTCTGGAGACGGAGAAAGGATGCTGGGGGACCTGGGTGGTCCCTGCGCCTGAGAGGCAGAAGAGAAGGAGACATGAGGAAGCAGGGGCTTGAGACCCGACACGGCTGGCGAGAAGCCAAGGGCCAAGGGACACAGGTGGCTGCTTCAGGTTGGAAAAGGCAATGAAAGAGTCTTTCCTAGAAAGTCTCCAGAAGGGGGGCCCCTGGAGGGCTCAGCGGGTTAAAGCCTCTGCCTTCGGCTCAGGTCATGATCTCAGGGTCCTGGGATCGAGCCCCGCATCGGGCTCTGCTCAGCGGGGAGCCTGCTTCCTCCTCTCTCTCTGCCTGCCTCTCTGCCTGCTTGTGATCTCTGTCAAATAAAAAAATTAAAAAAAAAAAAAAAGAAAGAAAAAAAAAAGAAAGTCCCCAGAAAGAACACAATTCTGATCATACTCGGCTTTTAAACACAGGACAGCACATGTCGCAGAAAGACAACCACGTCCTGGGACTCTGCTGGCTCAGGCAGGCCGAGCAGCGGGTCTGTCTCCTCCTAGGGACACAGCTGCCCCACCACGCTGGGACTGGAGCTGGACAGGGCCCTGCCCTCTCTTGATCCCATCTGGGACCTGGGAGGCCAAACCGGTGGCACAGCCCCTCTCTGGGCCTCAAATTCTGTCTGTTTGGACGGTACACAGCCCGGGAACTCCTCTCGCTGGGGGGGGGGGGGGGGGGGGGGG